CTACTTGTAGATTACAATTTACGCAAGGAATGACTCTCACTTCAGCCAAGGACAGCACCAACCAACCATCACACCGTTGCGATGTGTGCTCAAATGATGTTGCACTGGCACAATCACGTGTCTCCTCAACAGCGCTAAATAACGTATGCGCATACGCTAAGTTTTGCCGCGAAAAAAAGGATTTGAGCCGTTTGCATGGTTGATTAATAATTTCCTATTCTGTTGCTTCGAGGCGTCGTTTTCCTCGCCGCTTTGCTTTTACAGAACAACCTCCAAAACTTTGTACACCCCCTAAAAATGTTTGAGAATTAATTTTCTCCTTAAAAACTCTGGAAATAGAAAAATGCCTTAAACGACCACAAAATGCCTCGGTTTTAAATGTCAGCCCATCAGTTACATTACGGCTCATTTCTCTAAAGTTTAGGTAGATCTCGCACGCTTGGGCCCGCCTTGTAAACCGCACACTTTCTGACGTAACATTTCGTTATTCAGCCTGATTCAGCCCTGTCTGTCTCCCTCCCGTTTAGGCGATGAAACCACATTATACGGTCAGCGGTTTTTGTTCTCATTTCCTGTAAATATTGTCATCATTATTACTATTATCGTTATATTTAACAATTATTCCACGAGCGCGCGTTGGATATGAGATGATAGATAGCCAACGAGGCGCGTAGCCCGAGTTGGCTATAATTATCTCATATCCAACAAGCGCGAGTGGAATAATAATAAGCCCATCACTGTCCCAAGATATTAGACAAATCTTCTCGACTTTATTTTGTAAGAAGAAACCGGATGTTACAATGTACAGATAATCGATTATGGTATGTTGGCTCATACACCATAATGGCTAAGCCAATAAAAAGCCTTGGATTGCATTATCCAATGATCTAGTTTTTGATAATCATTCTTATTATTCTTTTGTCACCATGATGATAATTTTCTACCTCATAAATCAGTCTGGGAACACAGACTTATCTGTGGTTTTCGATTCTCAGGAAATACGTCGAGTTTGCATAGCTAACAACGACAGATTGCTTTTTATCCCTACTTTCGTTTCAAATTGTCATCCACTTCCCATGGCGAAATTGTTTACAATAGCACTTTTCGTACGTTAGCGGAGGGCATCTGCTTTTTTTGTTTTGTTTTTTTTGTTTTGTTTTGTTTTTTTTTTAAAGATTCGAACACATTTACCTTTCAAGAAAGTTCTGGCGTAAAATGAGCTCCACTGTGGACTTGAAAGACGACAACTCCATCATTTATACCGGTAAGGCAAATTTTCTTTGCCGAAGTCGTTAAAGACGGGAAGTAATCTGAGGTAGTGAAGATGTAACACACTCAACCACTTGTTATGCAAGGCTGAAATTACTTCAATTTTGTTCCCGTTATTACGATTGATTTTCTCCTGACCTTCATCGTAGAAGTATTGGCAGCCTTACTGATCTTTGTTTTTGTGTTGGATGTTGTCGGCTCGCGCCTTCTTGAGTCGTTTCAGTACAGGTTAGCCTACAGTACTGATCAACCTCGTTCCCAGCGCTTTTTCCTTTTTGGCCCTCTCAAAATATTCAAAAAGGGAAAAGCCCTGGGAACGAGGTTGAGTACTGGTTTCATAATCGAACACGAAATGTGATTGGAATTCCAGATTTAACCACGGGGTGTGTGGTAACGTAAATGACGATGTTGCGATTTTCAAAAAGTTCAGCCTGGTTTTTCCCTGAGATGAAAAGCCCCGTACTAATTTTCATATCCTCGAAATCAACACGATTTCCACTCATCATGAGCTTAATCTGAACCGATTCTAGGTCAAAGCGCACGTGGAAAATGGTAAGTGAGCTCCAAATTCAATGAAGTGGTCCCGTTTTAGACTTAAATCATACCGCAATCCCTCCTACAAAAATTAATCAAACTACTACCAGCTTGCTTTCTTCTGCCCATCGGTGGGATAATTGTTCGATGTACGAAGGAAATAATTAACAAAAATAAATCACCGATTCATTTCCTCGCGAACCTTTTCCCTCGGGTTGGGACTGGTAAGAGTGAGTAAGGCCGACTAGAAAACCAAGTTTATTTTACCAAAGTATTGTAAGCAGCTTTGGATTTCAGTTCGTAACGTTCTCAGTTTTTAATCATCTGGTTCCACGTATTTGAATTTTGATACATGCTGTGAACAAAGCTAAAGCTCTTTCCCATTGCTCAATCAGTTGTTCTTCCTCTTTTTTCGAACTATGTTTGCCGTTAAACAGCAGTGAAAGGGGGAATGGAAATTGATATTGTTGGGTGGAAAAGTCTATTTTGACGAACAAAATTAAATACGCTCGTTAACTACTTGTTGAGCTGAGAATCTACTTTCCTCGACTTATAATCTATCAAGAACTGAGAACAGGAAAATCAATCGGTTTTTATTACAGAGCCGATTACAAAACTGTTGAATTCACGTTTGATTTCCCCCCACTTCTTCTTTTCGCCAGTGTTTATAGGAATTCAGTGCCCTTCTTGTGAAGGCGACGACGAAAATGACTGCGATAGCCAAATCAAGATGGAGGTTTGTCCAAACATTGAAGAGAAGCCAACATGTGCGGTGTTCACATGTGATAAGGCTCAGTTCAAACGCTTTTGCGTCAACCAACCAAAATATGAGAAATATTTAAACAAGTGCCAGGAAAACAGCGATTGTGTTATAGGAAAGTATGGTAAGCCAAAGTGCGGTTCTTAAGTAGATTTTAGCGAAAATGACAAAATGACAAAAAGTCACAAAATTGCATTGATTTTGAGTCCTTAGAGGGTGCCCAATGCTGTCACTTTTTTTCCCTTTTAAAGAGTTTCAGTGGCCTTCTTGTCACGGCCGGGAAGGAAATGGCAAAACAGCTGAAGCCGATTGTGCTGAGAAAATAAAAATGGAAACCTGCACTCAAGAGAACGCAATGTGCGAGGCAGTTTCGTAAATCAATGGTACATTCACTCCGGCTTCAATGCACCAACGAGATGGATTACAGTATTATATGGAGGAAAACTGCGACTTTTACCAAGAATGCAAAACGCATAAGTGTTTTACCGAGAATGAAAAACGTATGCGCCACGTTGCACGGCTTAGCTGAGCTATTTTCATGTGTATCAGGTACCGAGTCGTCATTCTCTTTGGGATGTTACCAAAAGAAATGGTACACTTTTGTGTTGTTTTTGTTAATGCTTTTATTTCGTCTAATGCCAATTTAATTTAGAGTTTCCTGTCGAGTTATTGACATATCTCTTAATTAAGTTGAAATCCTCTCGTTCTCTCATGCACTGCAGAACTGTTATCCCGCGAAACCCAACGTGTTTCATTCAAGTCATTCTATTTATTTTTATTTTGTGATTAGCTTTGTTAATGAACGTGTTTCTAATAAAGGAAGAAGAGCTGCTACAAATTTCGATAAATGTGAAGGTTAATATTCAACTTGGTGTATTCAGTTTTCGTTTCGCTGTTATAAGAGTTTCAGTTCTCGTCCTATCACGGCTGGAAAGTAAAAGGAATAAAATTCAGAGCCGTTTGTAATGGGAAACTCAAGATGCTTAGTGACTGCCAATAAATGCAAAACAGAGGGAAAGAAAGAGAAAGAGGGAAATCTCATAAATTTAATTTAATTTTCTGAAGGATTAGCCAAGCAGAACAGTTACCAGGGAGAGCCACTATTTAATCTCGAAACTACAACCAACACCCCTACTTGATAATGGAGTCAAGATGACTTCGAAACGTCGTAGTTTTATTCTTCTAATATTTATTATCAAATGTATTTCAAAATGTTCTCTAATTACAATTTTTCCATCAAGGAAATTACTTACACCCAAAGTTTTATCAATAACTATTCGCTCTTATTATACGCCGATAAATTCGAAGCTTTAATTTCCCCCTTCCCTTTCCGGGCAACCCGCGAGCAATAAGACTTCGACCGTGCCTGGAGGGTGGGGAATTTGAACCTTGCCTGGCTGGGGTGGGAAATTTGAACCGGAAGTGTCTTTTCAGCGTGGCACAAGTGATAAATCAATAAATACAGGGCTCGAAATTGCGACCGATATGGTCGCCAATGCGACTAAAACTTTTAACTTGGCGACTAAAAGTTCGAGTTTAGTCGCCACTTTGGCGACTAAACTAACTTCCTCTGATAAATAAAAGATTGTAGATGAGAGAAATTTCTAAAGTCTCGTTTCTGCGTTTCTGCCGAAGGAAATGCAAATTAAGTCTGTTTACCTTTAAGCTAAAACTTGAAATGGCTTTCAAATTGNGTCTCTCAGCTGCACAAGAAGTTCCTTCCACGCATTAGAAGAATTCCGAACGGCCGTTAATTTGAAATTCTCGCTGTGACAGAGCTTGGGCTACCTGTGAGAAAAGGTCTACAAGATCAATGTTGAGAAAGTCAGAATCGCTGATTTTGCTTTCTACAAAAAAATTGGGAGGGACATTTGAACACAGGGTTTGCCCCGGGAGGCGGGAATATGAATATACCAATAATAAAAAATTCCAATGCCCAGGGGGGAAGGAGTATGTTCAAGCTTCGAATTGATCAAACTCATTACTGGCCCCCTAAATTGAGAGCACGTTTAAACTTAGTTTTGTTTTTATTTTAAAAAGTTTTCATAATTCATTTTACATTTGGCATAATTAAAAGAGACAACTTTATTAAAGTAAAAAAAAAAATCTAAAGAGATGCAACGTAAGATTCAATAATACCATACGGTGTAAAATTGCAAAGCTATCCTACAACTGTACAAAACTATTTACAAATAAGTGAGATACCTTTTAACAATTCAATCTTCGATGACAAGAAACAAGTTTAGAACCAACCTAAACGATACGCGCATCTAGCGGTTAGCTGTACTCTGCTCGAGTTAATCCGATCTCTCTTTTTTCCAATCTGGAGTTCGAAGTAATTTCGGCTCCCTCGGAAATAAATCAATTTAGGCCTTCAACCTAGACCTCAACAAAGACAAATGAATAAAGGCTGATAGTTTCGAAAGAAACTGTTTGGGGCTGCGTCGGTGGGAGTAACGAAATAATTTGGATATATCAACAAAGTTGAAATGGTAAATTGGCCACCGTAATGATTACAAAAGCTGACGTTTCGAGCGTTAGCCCTTCGTCGGAGCGAAGGGCTCCGACGAAGGGCTCAACAAAGACACTTTTAAATTAAACAATCTTTTCTTTGCTATCTTTGTAAGGACATGGTGATTCCTTACACATGTTGATTTCCATGAGGCTCTTTCATCGACAAGAATAAATATATGAAAGCCTTCCGCTTTTTCTTTCATTTATCTTTCCCCCTCCCCCTTTCACCCTGGCGACTTGCCATTGAAGTTTCGATAAAATAATAGATCAAACGTAATCCATTGTAATCTTGACAATGTTATTAAAAACGCCTGTTGTAAAAAAAAAAAAACCACCACAATTGTCTATCAGAACGAAGAGAAATATTTAAGAAACCTCAGAGAAAACACAGGAAGACGGCTTTAAAGACTGAGAAATGCGGCGACCAATAAGTAATTGTTTTTGACTTTACAACTGCTTGACCAGTAGGGTGGCACCACACTTCTGAACCGATCAGTGGTCGAACGTATAAAATCCAATAAAATACTGGATCACTTTTAACACTCAAAAGAAAATCAAGGAAAGGACTGGTCTAAAAAAGGTATCAGCCTTAAGTGCACGAAATCGGGGTTTGATCAATGTCCAGAGCTGCAACAGGAATATTGCCACAGAAAGCGAACTGGTATCCCTCCTTGTTATCTAGTGATTCTGCTGAAACGAAGCGAGCTGAGCTCTTTCACGATGGCGGCCTTCTCGGCCTCCAAGCTTCCCACGTGATGACGAAGTTCTTCGAGCTGAAAAAAAAGGAAAAATTGTTTCGCCATAAATTTTATTGTGTCGTTAGATTTACGTGCTTATTCCACTCGGTGGATGGTTTTGTCGTCAGTCACTTCTTCTCCTGCCTCTTTTCCTATTTATTATTTCGATTCATGAGCAAGCTAGTAAAATTATTTTAACCTCTCAAACCCTGAGAGTGACCAGCATATAATTTTAATTATTTTATTTTAATTATTTTAATTATTTTAACCTCTTAAACCCTGAGAGTGACCAGCATATAACTTTAATTATTTTAATTATTTTATTTTAATTATTTTAATTATTTTAACCTCTTAAACCCTGAGAGTAACCAGCATATAATTTCTCTTTACAGTAATATTCCTGAATCCCTCATTAAGATTAAGAGAATAAATAAAATAATTACCAGCTAAGACGCTTTGATTGTCAAACGAATTCTCCTTGTCAGCACCAAAGGAAATGTACAGAGAACGGTATGGAGAATACGCATACTAATTATAGGGTGTAAAGGATTAATAAATCGATATTCAGGAAGACTGTGATTTGTGAAATACTTGATCTTTTTCACAGAAAAACATGCCTGGCCCCACAAAATGAACCCTGACGAGATTCAGAGGACAGATTGACCGTAGCACCACTATGATCAAGGGCTAAAATATATTTTCACACGCTTCTTGGTATGATTACATATTTCAAAAGTTCAAAATCTACGAAAAAGAGGGTTTTCTTGTATTTTCTTTATTTTAGAACGAAGTTCACCCGTATGTAAGTAAAACAATCTGCCTAACTTAACATTAAACACCGAAAAATGTCAAGAACCTTTAATGCAAGGAAAGCTTGTGACGCTTTTGTAACAAGAGTAGGGGAGGGGGGAGGGGGGAGGGGAGGGGAAGTTACATTTTTGCGTAGGTTCGATCGTCCGGCATTCTCAGGCTTTGCTGGGGTTAAAATAACTATTTCTGGGGGTTTATTCTGTGCGTATTATGAAAATAATTACCTCTGAACATGCACTGTCTCTTTAAAAGAAAAAAAAACAAAACAAACAAACAAAAAAAAACAAGGAAGACACATAAAAAGTGATTCATTTCCTACCTCATTAACAAGTCCATTTTCATCTTTTTTTGGGCTCCCAATGTCGGCAGCTGATCTGCTCGTTGTTCCATTCGTTTGAGATCTGAAAGACAAGGCAATCAGGAACTACATTATAATGAAACTTGTGGAATCTTGTCCTTCCAGTATTCCTCACAAAACTTCAGCGATTAAAAAAAGCCATACTGTCACCCCAAACCTAACACTTCTACAAAGTTCAGAAAAGGTCAATCGATTTTACAACCGGTACAGTTCTAGAATTGTGTTTTACGTTATCAGCTCTCGTAGTATCTCGGTAGTTTTTTAAATATTGATGTCACCATCTCAATTCTGATTGACTACAAGAACGTAGCATATTCCTGCTGGCACTGTTTTCGTTATACAATGACTTTAGACAATCGATGTTATTAATTTAGTGGTGATAGTAGCCTGATGTATTTGGTTGACGCATGATGGTGAGATCATCAGACTTGGGTTTTGGCAAAACACAACACTTCAGCCTTACTGATTCTCCACATCATGCTCAACGTCATCTAACAACTGTTGATTAAACTAGTTGGCCTTTCTCTTGTTTTGATTTTTTTCTTTGTTTGTTTGTTTGCTTGTTTTGTTTTTTTTTGTTTTTTTTTCATCTTTCTATGACAATATTTAGCAAGCAGGTGCATCTAGATGAATAAAGAAAAGCATTTACGTCCATTGTACCTGTCGGTAAGAAGTGGCGTCCCTTCTTTTGAATTCAGGATGAGTTGGCCATCATCCTTTGACCCAGTCTTCGAACTGTCAAGACCTTCCAACCAGCTTTTAACTTTACGAGGCGGAGAGGAAAAGCTATCATCATCACCAGAAAAATCAGTGGCAGCAGCCCTTTCAATTTCCATTTCAGTTCTACTGTGCCACGATTTACTTCTCAGTTTCCCCGCAGTTTCCTTCACTTGGTCCTTGTCCGGCGTATTTTCGGTAGACGAATAGCTGTGTAGAGACATCGAGCTTGTGAGTTGATCACTTTCGTGTTTAAAGCTGACGTATTTCTTTTCTAAGGTTCTCTTTTCACGGTGAACGTCTTTTAGTATCGTCTCTAACTCGCGAATCTCCCTCCAAATCATTCTCTTGTTACTCTTCCACGGCTCGCTTTTCTCTCCCTGCTTCTCGCGATTATACTCTAACTCTTTCTGGGCAATCTCCAAACGGGACTTCAACAGTTTGTTTTCGCGATTTAAGGCATCGGTCTCTTCCTGGTAACTAGAGAGCTTAACTTTATCCGACGAGATTTGTCGTTGTGCTTCGTGAAGCTCTAGCAAAATATTGCTATGGTCGTCCTGTGCTTTAATGAGTGCTTTCTCAAAGTCATTCTTTTTGTCTTCCATGCATCGAATCATCGCTTGGTCGGCCTGTGCCGCAGCCCTCAAGGCTTTATTTTGTCTCTCTGATTCCTCGAGGCGCAACTGCAACATTTCATATTCTCGATCGGCAACGAATCTCTCTCTTTTGTTTCCTCTGTCGTTGTCCTCCACTCGACTTACAACCGATGTCTCGTCGCCAGCAGTTATTTCTTCCTCTAAAATTTTATTCCTGTTCTCCAGCTCCAGACATGTCTTTTGCAACTGAAGATTCTCATTTTGCAAGTCCGTGATCTCGTTGTTATATTCCACCCGCAAGTTAACAATGTTTTTTTCAAGCGATTCAACTCTTTCTGCCAGAAATACGCTCTCACCGTTTTTTCTCTCGTACTCATTTCGGATCGAAGACATTCCATCATCGAGACTATCAAACTTTTCCTTTAAATCAAAATACTTCCTCTCATAGTCTTTCAGCAATGCAAGTTGTTGATGAAGCTCAAAGTTTTCGCAAGCGACTGAATCGAGTTCGTTTCGCATGCATTCTAAAATCTGATTTTCTTCTTCGCTCATCTCTTCATCTTGGGTAACAAGTGCCTCGTATTTCTTCGACACTTCGTCAGAAGCGATCTGAGCTACTGTTTCTTGAAGTTTTTCCCGAAATTTTAGCGGAATATCTTCCAAAGGCGTTCCTTCGTACGCTTTCTCCAGCTTGACTTTCAAAGCTTCCAAAGTATCTACCTTCGCTTGTTCAACCTGTAACTTGAACTTGAGAGCTGTCTGCTCTATAGAGTTCAGGTACATCATGAAAGGATCGTCGCAATCTCCGTCAGCCGTATTATCACTGTCTTTGCCAAATAGTGCTCTTTCGTACCTATGGAGGTCATCCCATGGACTGGATATAGCGTAAACCTGAGGTTTCTCATTCCCAGTTCCTTTCGCCGGTGAATCTAGTGTCGCCCAGGTGACTGTGGTTTTCAGAGAAGAATCGAAACTATGGTCAGAGTCATTCATTTGGGTATCAGGCTGCTTGACTTGAACGTGAGCGGGAGAGATTGAATTATTCGGGGACTCATCAGCAGAGTTTGAGTTCTGGCCAAATATGGTGTCGAGCCCGAGAAATTGCACTTTTTTATTTGGTGTGGAGACTTCTGACTCCTCTGTGTCAGGCACAGAATGATTATCTTCAAAATGCATCACCTCGTCGCTTGTCATCGTCAGCTCTTCACTTGCAAGTGAAGGTCCATCCACAACCTGCATTGGCTCAACGTTTGCCAACGTTGGTCCAACAATCTCTGATGCTGTTCCGTTTGATAGAAGCGATGGTGCAACACCTGTCGCTGTTGGCGACGCTTCGTTGTCCATTCCATTCATCTCCATTTCCTTCACGCTATTTTTTTCATCGATTAGCGGATGCTCCTCTTCATTAACCCCATTTGTAGCTCGCGAATCTACGTCTACTCCATCGTTGTTGAGCCAGGTCTTCGCTGTTGCCAATTCAGGGGGCATAAATCCCTTTTGAACAGCATCCAACATCAGCTCAAGAAATTGTTTATCCACACTTGTGTAGAGGGGATCTGAAGTAGACCCGTCAGACTCAGGCAAAGGAGAACCAAACAGCTCCTCGCCATTCACTTCAAGAACATTGTCATTTTGATCCGCTGGTATAACTTGTACAGGGAAACTGTCTTTCTCTTTAGTGGTAACATCCTCTGAGGACGACGTTAGCGATATCCCCTCGATGGGAGTAGGTGACATGCTTTTAATAAACAGGGACTCAGGTAGTTTCTGAAATTTAACCAACATATTTCAGTTGGGAACTGGTTTTCACAAAGCTTGCAGTGTTCTAAGACGATTGTCATCACAGAAAAAAAAAAACACACGGACACATTCTGGATGAAAACAATTGCTCAATTTTTCAGATAAAGAAGAGACTAAGCTGTTTACGTAGGTTGAGATTTTATGAACAATATCACGTTGAAACACTGGTAATTAATTTTTGATAAGTTAGGTGAAAGAATGTACGAAACAGTGAGCTATAATGATCAAGTCGACAAGTATTCTACAGTCGACTTACGTAAGATACTGGTAAAAAGTCCCGCATGTAAGCAAAACGTATTTACGCCCTTTCAAGTTCAAACGGATAGTCAATTAAGTATATAGATCTATAGTTCTGACTATAATGGACTTTTTAATACGCTCTAATCTCTCCTCCGTAGCCGTAAGAAGTTTACTCTCCTAATCGGTGAGATCTATACTTCCCTAGACGGCTGGAAAAATCTCAAATGTTCCAGGAACACGGTTGGATGGAAGAGATTAACTTTAAAAAGTTAGGAAAAAAGGAACCAATCTTTAAAAAAAAAAAAAAGGTTACAATCGTTATGCCTTTGTTTAAATAATGAAAATATGCTTATGATAAAAAAAAATTCCGACGGGATTTTTGTCTCCTTAAAACAAAATTTCATGAAAATGGCTTCAAGCGAAAATGCTTCAGTTCACGACGATGAGCGAGCACAAGACATGGTCGAAATGCTGGCCTGGCCTGCATTCAAACGCGCAACTGGTACAAAACTTCTACTTCGGTGAAGCAAACTTTGAACAAGAAAATTTACAACAAAAGACTGTAAGAAAATTAGGAGACTATCAATTTAGGTTTAGCCATGGGATCGCAAAAGAAGTCGGAGCCTGAAAGCAGACAATTTCTGCTACATGTAATCATTTGTGTCTTAATTGAAGCCTTACAAGATTTTCTAAAGGAAAGTCAGAAAAAAGATTCGAACAACACCCTACCTTCTGTAGCTTTGGTGTAGAAGCCAGATGGGTAACTGATTGTATGCGTTCTTGTAAAGCCTTAATGAAATGCAAAGAGACGATAAATTAAGAATCACATCTGCATCAGATCAACTAAATTGAGTAACACAATGAACATACGCATAGAACTCACGGTTATATTGATTTGAAAATTACTTCTGTTGTTAAGTAACATAGAGCTCTTGCTGATATGGGGTTACAACTTCTCTCTGTCATGAAATTTTTCATGGTGCGTTCATGTTTGAATTAACGAGAACTGAGTAGATGTTTACTGAAGCCATACGATGTTTACCGCAATGTTCCTAGGGGACCAAGAAGCTCATGTTCCCAAGTGTTCTGGAAGCAGAAGGAATTTTACGATCGTCAGCCCGAAATTTTTTCTCATCGCGTGCTTTTCATAAGCGTGTGAAATGTGAAGGCGAATATCTCGACGAAATTGAAAATCACAATATAGGTAGTGAACCAAAGAAACCCCAACGCCGTCGATGAGCAAATATGTTCAGGACTTATATTTAACCACGTGAAAGTAATCTCAGTTTCACAGTATGAACAATTAATTCATCTCATGGTGCAACTCTCAACCTAAGATTTGCTAAATCACCGGAACTGTTGGTATATTCTAGAAGACTAATTCCACGAAGTGATTGTTGCATAAAAATGCAGCTAACTACGTTTTGTATTATGCTCGTTTATAACAAGAAGGCTACGTGTACGCCCTCTCCATCCATGCATCCATTCCTTACCTGCTTCACCAAAAATTACACGTTGATAAACTCATAAAATCTGTAAACTCCGATTATCATTTCTATCTAGAGAAAACGAAACACTCCAGAGGTTCATCAGACCAACGACACAAACATCACGGGCAGCAAAGAATGCATGGCTTAAAATTCAATGGAAACGACTTTAATAATCAAGCGTCACGGATGCTGAACAGAGAACCGCATTTGTTTCATAAGCTCCATTAACACAATGACTTCACTGCACACTGGTGGTAATAAACGTGACTTTAATACTGAACGAAACAAACTCTTCTGACATTTGGTAAAAAATTGCGGAACCGATTTTCTCACTACGCATCCTTCAAAAATCTTGCGTGCAAATATTTTGTCCACGAATGTATTAAAACAGTTGGAAATATGCATAAACAAAAGGTGCAGAATTGCAGTGGTGTTTTGCATATGACATCTACAAAGACCTGTGCCCTAAGAGAGTGGTCTATTTTGAGAAGCAATGATAGGGAGCACTAATTGACAAAAGAAATACTCGTACATGACAAAATATCAAACCACAGAAGAAGTAAATATTCTTGTTCACTGATTAAAATATCCTTTGGTAGCGAATCTTTTCATTGGCATTCTCTCATGGAACCTATGAGTATGACTATTCTTAGCTCCACATGTTCACCAGAACATATTTAGGGGCAAAAGAGCACAAATATTAAGCGGCGTGTAAGTTTGCCTTTTATTCGTGTTATTAAATCGTAGCCTCAAGCCGCAGTCCAACGAGAAATGCTCACTGAAGCTAAACAAGGCGTTATTTATTGTTTCGAACCCCTGAAATTGACTGTGATCATCTTAAACAGAAGCTTATGCATATACTCTGTAACTACAGAAGAACATCAGCTTCAAGAAAATGTTCCTTCTTAATCTTAGTGGCCAATTGAAAATCAAGCATCTCCTCTCGAAGGTATTTTCAACAACTCAACCCTCCTAAACAAGTGATTAATTATCTTAATCTACTCAGCCAGCCCATATTTCCGCCATTGTTTCTCTCCACAAAAACGCCAAGAATTAGCCACAATACATATATGTCATTTCATAAAATGAC